AACGTTGATTTGAACTGAAGTTAGGGTGTCAAAAGTCATTCACGTCCAAAAGTGACATTGATCATGTGTGGTAGATAATAAACTCCTACAAGCTAAATATGCTGCCATAATCAAGTGAGGATCTTTCCCTAATCCTAAATATAAATCCATTTACAATATTATATGCACTTAAGCAGCTGTTTATGACATTGTAAAATTATATAAACAAGACCGGTTTATATAATTTATATCATAATATAATTTATATAATTTTATCAAGATAAGTGTATGGGGTAGAGGGAGCAGACATTGAGAATCAATGTTGTCGGACCTCGTGAAACTAAACTAACAGTCTTCCAAATAACCCAGGAGTCCAATGCCAGGGACCTGTTAAATTTGCAGCCGGGCATGAAAAAATTGCCAAATTACATGTCCGAAGAGGGCATATGTGAATCTTCTTTCATTGTACGATCTTTACTTGCCATTTATTCTGTCCTTCCCCCATTATTCGCTTAAACATTGCTATATGTAATGTTACAGTCGATGGATTGCCTGTCTACATTCTCGATACGACCTGTCAAATGATTGTCAATCTAATCATTGAAGTGTTTAGTTTAACCTATTTGTTTTCTTGAAGTTGCTTGCTAAATTACGAGATGTTCATCAATGCCACATACTGTGGCACTACAGTCATGATCCCATTTCTGAAATTCAGTTCAGCTAAACCGGCCAACAAATGACCAGCATGCAACTCAAAAGTTATTTATGAACAAAAACGCTTTAGAAAATGGCAATCACAGGCCATGGTTGGTTTACGATGCTGAAAAAATTAATATAAAACCTTTATACCTAATGGTTTTTTTTTGTTGCACAATACTGGTAAATGTAAGAATTTTGAGTAGGACATGTACAAATTTGAATGGGCTGGGTAAAAATGATAGGTCTACATGCCCGAAGGGCATGTGCTGAAAAAGAATTGTTGTGAAGACTGAACTAAAGCGACAGCGCCGGGTGATCATATAAAGTCCCCTTTATTACATAATAATTTGGCAAATTATCAACACATCAAGCTAAAATTTCCAACATATCTTAACGGTGAGAATTTTTATTTTTTAAGTTGAAACCTCGTGACCTGTGAAAAAAATGAAATTTGTATCCCATCTAAAGTCTTAAAATGTATCAAGGTAATTTTCAATACAAATTTGCGGTTGGGGTTATAAATGAAGGATAAAACCAGAGACCTCGGAATGGAACACTCGGAAGTCTCTGGTTTTATTCTACCCCCAACTGGAAGTTGTATCCCATCTAAAGTCTTAAAATGTATCGAGGTAATTTTCATGGAATAAATGAGTGCTTTCAATAAAGAGACTCGACCAGAGACGTCTGAAACGATTTATTTGACAAGAAAAAAGTCTCTTGAAGCGAATGATGTCATTTTAAAGTAGGTTAATGATTGATAATGATACATGAACAAAATACGAACTTGAAGCGGGGGTGCCTGAAATTGAGTTAGATACCTTGTGGTAAAAATAAGTAGGGGTGCACCGTATATGAAACAAGTGCCTGTGATTGATACTGATAGTCTGAAATTTCTCTTCACCTAAATATTAAAAGCTTGCAGTGATCGCTATAAATCTATACAACAGTTAAGTTACATACAGTAAACTAACATAAAAACAACATTACAACAGTCATGTTTACAGAAGGTACATTTTGAAGACTCTAGGTCAGTAGGTGAATGTAAACAGGTAAACACACGTGTGACAGTCACCGCAAATATGCACCACAAAACGACTTATAACATTAAAATGTAAATATTCATCTGCACACAGATTTTTGCATAATAATAATAATTTTTAAAAAAGTGTAAATTAAAATATAAAATAAACAAACCTCAAACCTTGTAACAAGGCTTGTTTCCCTACAATCTTATTCTGGTTCTCTGTCACTGAAATGCAGGGAACCAGGCTGCGTTATTAACTCGTACACAGATTTGTTGATACGAATAAACCTATAAACATATGGATACGAAATAAAATATTATCATAAAAAAATGAAAAATTTCAAATTGCTTGAAAAATTATCTTTATGTAGTTTATGATAAATGGTTGTAATTGTTTATTAATTTCTATCTATCCATTAAAATTTGATACGCATATCAGCTTAATATGTATCCGTCTGAACAATTATTGTTATTACACTCCCTGTCACATCTTCATAGTTAAGCCTGTAAGCATGGTAAGTAGGAATCAATTTCAGTTGAAGGGGACCAAAACCAAACATTTTTCAGTTTCATTTGGTGGGGAGGGGGGGGGGTATAAACCTCAAATGATCATTTTATCTCTGTCACTGAACTGCTGAAAATAATGAAGGGAACTAAGCTGCGACAATGATTTGTTGACTGAATTAAAATACGAAATAAATTATCATACATACGAAATAAAATAATTTCGTGAAAAAATGAAGAATTTCCAATTGCTTGAAAAAAAAGAAGCTTTTCATGTATGTGATTTACAATAAATGGTTGTACTTTTATATTTTCTATATATCCATTAAAATTTCACAGTATCAGTATTTCACTATTTGTAAACATTAACAATAATATTAAATAAATGTTACACTCACTGTGGCTTTGACTGAGTTACTGTCACATCTTCATAATTAAACGAGAATATTCCCTTCCATAAATATTGCTATATCTGAACTGTTACCAATTAGTCTTTCTTTGGTGAAAGAAAACCTCAAGGATGGAGAATAGGCCCGTACGTAATTTAGTTGGAGGGGGGGGGGGGGGGTGAGCACAACCAAACAACATTTTTCAGTTTCAGGTTGGGGGAGGCTACAAACCAAAAATTTTTTAATAAGCAAAAGAAAAATACATTATCAGAGGTTATTATTGAGGGGGACCAAAAGCAAAAGAAAAATAGATCATCAGAGGTTATTATTGAGGGGGCCCAAGCATAAAGGAGCAATGTTTTCTATAGTATACCTAAATTTCAGCAAAATTACAGGTGGCCTGCCCCCCCCCCCCCCCCCCGTTCCTTCAGCCATGTATTGTATCAAATCTGCTTCACCCTGATTCAGATTTTTTTTTACAGCATATATATTCTATTAGCAGAGGATCACATTATATTAATAAACAATTATTAAATTACAGCTATTTTTTTCTTACAGGGTCTGTTTCATTTATACTATATCATGATGATCATGTCCTGCATGATGTTTACAGAAAGTTTAATTTAAATTTTTAAGCTCGAAATAGCTGCGTCAACTTGCGAGACTATTTTTTCAACGTTCGGCCTAATCTTTAAATATTTAATTTGTTTGTGGACTTGCATAAAAGAATTAAAAAATATAGGGGCCTATCATTTAACTTTATTTCGAATTTCCTTCAGGATTTTATATACCGAACTATAGTCTAACGATTATTTAAAATCATACTTTTTCTCTTGAAAGCTAAATTACTAGGCAAAAAAAAAAAAAAAAACAAAAAACAAACAAACAAACAAACAAACAAACGAATGTTTGTCTTGTGTATTCTTAATTACAACTTATTACTGTATCATTTTAGTTACTTACCCAAATTTCTCAACATCCATGGTGTTCAGAGGTCATTTTCTGAAAACTGAAGGGGCATTCCGATGGCATTCGGAACAAATGACGGAAAGCACTTGCTAAGAATTCAAAACATGGTTCATAAATTTACAATATTTTTCCTTTTTAGGTTTTTAACATAAAACATGGAAAACTAAGTTAAAGAAACACTCATTTGAACAAATCAAAAGCGGAAAAAATATATATGCTAGATTTTTTGTTTAATTGCATGTTTTTCATGGTCTCCAAAATGCAGAAAAATTATCCTTTGAAATTATACGTAGGTTATAAATTCTTTTCTTTTTTAGGGAAGATGATAGAAATTAGACAACTTTTGAATGTTAAATAACAGAGTTAAAGATTAATAAAATTTAATGGCAGACTGTTTATTTATCTATAAAAAGACATTTGCAATACTGATGAGGTCAAAATAATAGGGAGACCGAAAAAGGTCGCCTTAATCCAGTGGTCTCCCTAAGCCAGAAAATATATCCTCCTTGGTCTCCTAAAGCCATATGTCATATATATATATATATATATATATATATATATATATATATATATATATCCAAAGTCTCTTCTTTGTAATAGAATTTGTAATTTCAAAAAGTGTTTTAAAGTGTTTTTATATATATATATATATATATATATATATATATATATATATATATATATATATATATATATATATATATATATATATATATATATCATATAAACTTGTTTTACTATTTAAAGATTCTGAAATGCATATCGACTTGATGTTTCTAAAAATGGAAATAATCTTCTATAAGACAACAATAGTGCTGACTTCACATTAGCTAACACAGAATATGACTTGATGTTTCTAAAAAAGTTATAATTCAACTCCTACTTAATATTGTGATGTTCTGTAATAATAAGTAAGATGTAACAATGCCTTGAAAAAGGATGTACTTCATATTAAAACATATTAGATAGATTGTTCATAAATCGATGCAAAACATAAAACAAATGAAGCATTTTAAATAAGTAAATTCCCTAAATTACTGTATCAGTATAAAGGAAACACAATAACATCAAAAAGCTCAATTTATTGATCACTAGTCTCAATGTCTTAAAAAAACAAGAAAGAAAACTTGTAGCTTGTTCCCATTATTTTCAATTTTGTTTTGATGTCTATAAAAAAATAAAGTAGCCCTTTCATGAGGTCGAACCATAGATATACATGTATCGACGTCACAGAAAAACATTTCAACCTCGCACTTCGTGACGATCGATATGCTTTTCTGTGAAGTCGATACATGTATACATGTATCTATGGATCAACCTCATACATATATATATATATATATATATATATATATATATATATATATATATATATATATATATATATATATATATATATATATATATATATATATATACCTTATATATTTTTCAAGGTGTAAACAGAGACTTTATTGATAGTATGCTGTTGGCCAGACAGGAAGCTGAGAATGAAGGAGATGAAGCATCACTGGAGAAGTTGGATGATACACATTTGGTTCAGACTATTTCAGATATATTTTTTGGTAAGCATCACATTATTTCCTATGGGAGATAAATATTTTCTCTTATTTGAGATCTAGTAATTATCAAAATTATCCAGACATACAAAGCTATGCTGAAATGCCAGTTCCTTTTCAACAATAAATTCAAATTAACTTAAAAAAAACATTTAAGTGTATTTAGAATAACTCATGTTATTTGAATTCAAAAATTCCACAAAAATACCTAGATGTTTATTCATTTTTCATGCTTCATTTTTTTTAAAGAGTTTTTATTTTAATTTTCACAAACTTTCTCTGCACAGCTGGTGTGGACACCACAAGATTCACAATGGACTGGTTTGTATATTTCATGACCAGATTTCCAGAAATCCAGATCAAATGTCAGGAGGAGATTGACAGAGTTGTTGGTAAGAATTAATTAATTTTTTTTATATTTTCAGAAACATCTTTTTCGATAAACTGAAATTTGCAAATGTTATATGGAAAATTTTGACGACACACTTGAAAAATGCTCCTTTTTATTGTTGAAAACGAGAAATCTTAAACGGACTTCAGAAATTTGAATCTGCATATATTTATACAAATTTTTTCAGGTTCTGGACATCCATCAATGAAAGATCGTAACAACTTGGACTATACAGAGGCTTGCTTGTTTGAAACAATGAGGCTTGGAAGCGTCGCAGGTCTTGGTGTCCCTCACATGACTATGTGTGATTCACAAGTCGGTCAGTGATAAATTCAAGAGATTCGAATATCTGCATGAAAATCATCAAGCTTCATTTTGAAGCTGAATTGATGATTTGTATTGTTTTAGTATTTAGCAATCATTCATTTTGCGGGTCATTAAAACAGGTTTTAGAATTAAATAGTTGTTTTTTTCCCAACAGGTGGATATGACATTCCCAAAGGCACCACGGTCTTCATAAACCATTGGGCTCTTCATCATGATCCAAAGTTCTTTAAGGAACCAGAGAAATTCGACCCATATCGATATCTTGATGAAAATGGGAAAAAGAAACCTGCCAGGCCAGACAGTTGGCTTCCATTCTCTGCTGGCAACCGAGTTTGTTTAGGTGAAACAGTTGCTAAACCTGAAATACTGCTGATGTGTGCAAACCTGCTGCAGCGATTTAAGATTAGTCTCCCAGATGGTGTGCAAGCCAATCTTGAATACAAGCAGCTGGGATTTGGCACAGAGCTTCCTTCTGAGTATAAAATCATTGTAAAGGAAAGAATAGAAAATTAGATAAACTATAATGTCTCATAGTATTTAGTGTCGACAGTATTTATAGCTTTTCTACTAATCTTATTTTTATATATGTAATTTATGAACACTCTGGTTACCAATTCTTTTTTCTATTTCTTATATTGTATATTGTAAATTTTATCTTTTACACACTGATGTAAATACTGTAACAGTTTATATATTATACCTTTCATTTTTCTTAAAATGATACATATTTTTCTATATTGTAGCGTATTGTAAATAATATAAAGTTAATTTTTATGTATTTTTATTAAAAAAAAAATTAAAATAATAATGATAATGATACTTGCATGAACCATAGCTGAATGTATGTAATGTTATTGTTTTGTCTTTTTGAATAGATTTCCATATTTTTCAGCATAATAATTATTTCAAATAAAGTTTGGCTTCAAATATGGTACCTTTGTTTAAGAAGATACGGTTAAGATACTACGAAGCTTAAGGTTAATCATGAACAGAGACAGGCAGTAGAGTTAGCTTATTTAGGGCTCAGACGCAAATTTGAATAAAGTCTAAATGAAAAGAGGGAGGATGTAGGTAAAAGAGCTGCATATTACCAAAAAAAAATTAAAAAAAATTGTCAAACATCAATGAAATGTCACGGTAGCTCAGTCGGACGCTCTCTTTGTGATCGGAAGGTTGTGGTTCAAACCACGGGCGCAGCTGACCCAAGTCTATTAGAAGTAGGTAGCAGCTGTTCCTTCGCCAAGTACTCGGCACTTTGAAGTGAAAATTGCGGGTCTTTCGGATGAGACCTTAAAAAATGAGGTCCCGTGTTACGGCAGGCGTTGACACGATAAAGATCCCTCATTGCTCAATGGCCCTAAGTGCAGAGTGAAGGTCTAAAGTGAAGACCTTCACCGGTATTTGGTAGGTAACCTATTTGGTAGCGTCTAAATTTGAATATCTTCACCGGTATTTAGTGGTGTCTCTATAGGAGTGAAAATTGAGACGTAATTTTAAACAACCATCAATCGAACGTCGATGATTGTAGAAAAATGTACATTTTGTATTCGGGGCTTTACATTAATAGTATCAATCCCCCTTGCAGAATTATTCGTTCCTCTCTCAGACACCTCTGCAACGGCTCTCGTCAAGAATTTTGACATAAAGTATAAAACTTAATATTCCAATGATTCAAATTAAACAAATAGTTCTAGATCTATTTAGTTGATATCTATCTGAAAGGACAAACATTGGCACATACATGTATATTTGATAATAATGAATAAAAACAAACGCCCTATTTCTCGTGCTTATCTCTGTGATATACGCGAGTCAACGACAGAGGCGAATGTATGAGCCGATGGTAGAGAGTGTAATATCATTTAAAGTATTTCTTTTATGAATAAACAAAAAAAAATAATAATAACGGTATAAAAAATATCTTGATTCAACATTCATCACATTTAGTCTGAAGAGGGGTCGGGGTCTTGATGGAAACTATTTTTCTCAAAGTGTGAACTTTTGAAATCGCTCTCCCCATCGCATATTTTTTTTCCATGTAGGCATCAGGTATATTTTTTATTTGATTAATGTTCCTCAATAGTCTTCAGAAAGTATAAATTTTATGCGGTCAGCAATTTCTGAATCCCAGAAAGAGTAAAAGCTTGCTTCTGTGTGATGGTTGAATCCTGTATACATGAAATTAAAATAATTCAAACATTTGAGAAAAGTAATAACCATCAAATTAATTAACATAATACAGAAATTTGTTTCAATTTTTACTGAATTTGTATTTTCAATGAAGCCAGCATAGATAAATGCAGCTTTGTTTTTCTGTGATTTCCGTATATATATCAATTACTGACGTTCATTCGTCTTCAATTATTATAATTCTGTCTCAAGATATTGCATTTACATGTTGGGTGACCAAATTACATCCATTTGGAGGTGACAAAGGCTTTAACCTTTTACATAATGATAATGATTATCTTACTGTGCTCTTTTCAAAATTTTGGAAAACAACTTAAAATAGTGTTCTATTTGGAAGAAATGTGAATAATGCAATTTATTTATGTGGTTAAGTAGTCACCAAAAGTTCAATTAATTTTTATGATGCTATTCAGCTTTTTATAGGGCCAAATAAGGCTTTTGATATCCTTTTACCATGGGAACGATGTATAATTGGTACCTATAAAATGTATCATTGTTCTGATTATTGCATTGACCTTTATTCTCCATTTACATTTGTCACGAACAGCTATGCGTCTGTTAACTACATAATGGTTACAATGTGCAAAAGAGGTACATGTCTAGAAGCGCATGCGTGCAATTATTTCTTGTTTACATTTTGCAAAACTGATCATGCCATTCTGATCCTATCAAGAGGCATATATCACTAGAATATTCGTTGTGCAATGTGTACTAAGTCGATTGCATTATTTTGTAGAATCTGGAGACATAATTTTATGGTAAGTGTGTAAAATATTATAATCTCAGTACAAGTGCAAATATTGCAAATGAAAAAAAAAATGAATTTAAATTAAGATGTTTATAAATTACTGAACCGAAAACGTGTATTCAAATTCTTGATGCATTAGGGACTATTTCCATTTTGAGATACACGAATGCCATATCTTGCGTCAATGTGCTTTTTCTACAGTCAATTACAGTGTTGACTATGCATAAATGCTTATTCATCACCTTCATCATAACCTATTTATAATCCGGTGAGGGTCACCACAGCTTTTATTGGGTACAGGATGTTTCTATATCCGGAAAAATGCTGATATTCGTTTTACTCATCATCTGCGTGGAGACGTTGAACAAGTTCATAAATAAATAACTACTAATACGTAATACCAAAATTAAGTTTTCATTTGTTTTACATCAAGTATGCATTATAATGGTCCTTCCTCTTCACTGGGAGAACCTTTTTTATTTTACGCTTTTTTTCAACTTTTCGCGATTTGAGAAGACAGGATGCATTTTCATTGAGTTATTAATCCTTTTGGTCTATGAGTTGGTAAGTAAGGAAAAGTTAAGTTACATGTTTTTTATTTTTCTTTATCAAGGATGGTATAATTGAAACTTGACACGGCGTTAGCACCTAAACTTTTCCTCAGAAATAAAAATTGCAATGTGTTTAAAAACACATACTTGCAAAGTATCTAGTTAACTTGCTTCACACAAATATACTAATCGGGGTTAAAATTCGTACTCCAGGAGAAATTTTATGACTGGGTAATTTACGAAGTAAATACAAGTACAATAAATTAAAGGCTATAAATTTACGTGCTCTGAACATATCTGCACTACAAAAACGGCGTGGAAACACAGATTATACACTTTTTCAAGGAGTGAATTTCTGTATTTTCCTTTTACTTTGATGTTTCAGCATCTCTATAAATATCTCAATTTGACATCTCTCCCTCTCCTGCCCCATGGGTTCAATGACAGTATTGTATGTTTTACATTCAGCGTAGAGAAAATTACATAATCACAACTTATACAACGTTGTCACATATAACCCATTGCTGTGTTTTAGGAATAAAACATGCTTGATATATATTCAGTTTTGGTATTACAACACTTCTAAATTCTGTAAGTAATATGTAAAATAAATGTTAGGACGAAAGAAATAAGCAAGATGAATTCAACCTATTGCATAGCAGATCCATATTCAGTAAATAGAGAAAAATGCTACTTGCTTCAACATGAAAGTATCAAGCACAAGAAAATGCATTAATATTTTTAAAAAATCCAATCAATTGAGAAGTACATGGAAAAAGCTAATATAGGGTGTAAAATGATAATACCTAAATTGGCAAATAAAAAAAAATCTTTTTTCATACTTTATGAACCAGTGCTCAGTTCATATATCAAAACTCATCCCCTTTAAAGGAAACAGAAGTGTCAGTAACTATTTTTCAGAAGATGAGTACTTCGTAAAGAATATCGATCGTGAAGAGGATTCTGTTGTATCAATTACCCTCGTCTTAGTAATTGAAAATAACTCCATCGTCATGAGAGGCATGAAATACAGCGGCTAGAAACAACGGTCATTTCACTTGCCGGATGCAAAGGCTGTATTGCAATTCTTTACCTAGCTTTCAACCAGCTCTATCATATAAAATATCTTTTATAAAAAGTAACTATCGAAAATTGAGAATATAATATTAAACAGCAGTTGACGCACGTGTAGGTAAAGTTTTCAAGGGTAATAACTGTTTCAAAAGCAAAATATCTGCTTTAAAAATGATTTGCCCTGAGATATTTTGGCATTTAGCTATTTTTCGAATGTTTCGAATATTTTTCGAAACTTCGGGTGGAATGGAAGGGGCCTTAATTGTGGATTTTACTGTGAGATGCTCTTCCAAAACAAGCGTTCGGAAGCAAATTGAAAGTTGGCGGACTAAACGAACAAAACAAAATTTTTTTTGGGGTGGGTGGGGGGCTAAGCCCCCCTTGCCCCCCCCCCCCCCCCCCGACGCCAATGTCCAATAGATCCGAAAACAATGCTATAATTCATATAAAGTGATGATTTGATATGTTGTTCTTTTTACTTAAAATAACATTGTTTTCCTTTTTTGAGAAAATAAGTGGAAGATGAAGCGAAGGGAAAGCTGATACATCATGATTAACTGGTCGCTCAATACGCAGACCATACTGGCGAGTTTAAGCATAGGTCTTTTGGTATATTACGTCATCAGACGAATTCGGTATCGTTTGCCTCCAGGACCTTGGTGCATACCACTCGTCGGACATTATCAAAGTAACTTTTAACTTAAAATAATCTTAGTTTTGCTTTTAAAAAAATATCTTTAGAGAAATAGTCTAGAAAATTCTCTCCGATTTAGGGTAGGCATAAATATTCTATAGAACAGATTTTCAGTATGTTAAGTTCATAAAGTTGAAAAAAAAATTGAGTGACTTTTATCCTATTGATTTTATTAACTGTTATTCTGATATTCAGTACATCTTTGAAAACTGGATATGTAAATTACGAATTTATTTAACAACATTTTTTAAAGAAGCATATAATATTTTTTTTTTCAAGAGGTTTTAACACAACTAAAAATAAGTCTATATCTTATAAGAATCAAAAGGGAAGAATATATCATATTTCACAATCTTCTTAAAGTTGTACTAAATTAAACAGCTAAGAGTGAGGATCAAAGCAAAGTACCCTTAATTGTGTGACTTTTATCCTTTTGGCTTTATTGATTATGATTCTGATATTTTAAGCAGTCTTTGAAAACCGTAACTCGATCCTGTACATAAAATGTATGAATGTATTCAGTGTATGGATATAATCAATTTAATGACCTTACTTTTCACAGTTTATTCATCTGTTGAAATTCACAAGAAAGTAGCAGAGTTGTCTAAGAAATATGGCCCAGTCGTACGCCTGTCGTTTGGTGAGTTATTCCCTTGCAACCACGTTGCAAGGAGATGAAGTAATCGACATGCTTCGTGATTCCGCGATACATGTATGTGGGTCCCTTTTTAAAATGTTGAAGACACAATATTTTTAAAATACCGTTTGGCCTTGATTTTTTTGAGATACAAGGTGGTCTTAACTTATTGAATGAAACGTGGAGGTGACGAACAGTATTCAAACTAAAAGTCTATACAAACAATACAAATCGGGAGCAGAGCAAACAAAGACCTCCACAAACATCAGAGCTTAGGTAAGATACGGTAGAGGTAAAGCTTAGATAAGGTGCCATGAAGGAGTGAGCATTCCCTGCCAACTGGTCACACCAGTTGTGTGCTCATTGTCATGATCGGGAAAATACGAGAAAATCGGTAGACAATTCAGTGGGTAAATAATGGCCTAACAATTAGTATGAAAAACGTCAGTCAGCATTTGACTTAATGATAAGTTGTATTTGCTGAGAAGATCGTTGTATCAACCACAAAACTTGCAAAATGATGACTTCAGACGAGACTGTTGATATCCTTGTTTTATTAACTTATTTGTCAATAGCTTGCCTTGTTTTAAAAAAAAATGTTCATACGTAGAGCATGCTAGTAAGGGAAGTTGACGGTTGAAAAGTTGAAGTCATCACGTTTATCATAGAGCTTTGTTATTAGGTAAATTAATATTCAAAAGATTGCAGCTCAAGGTCAGTAACATTTAGGCGAGAAGACATTTTAAGATGAGTTTTGTCCTTTAAATTTGATTCTATGTTATCAGAGGAAGCACATGTTGTAAACAATGCTATGTACACAAATAATAATATTTAACTTTCCAATTGCGTCCTTCTTACAGAGATACCAGATGATTAAAGAAAGAGTCGATTGTTTTAGGAAGAATACAGTGAACGTTTTGTAAGTTCTATGGTTGATACAATGACCTTGTCAGCAAATACAATCTATCATTAAGTCATGTGCTGACTGATGGTTTTCATTCTATAATTGTTAGGCCAATTATTTACCCACTGAATTGTCGACGGATTTTTCCGTTATTTTCCGATCATGACAAGGAGCACACGACGGGTGTGACCGGTCGGCAGGGGATGCTCACTCCTCCCTGGCACCTGATCCCACCCCTGATGTTTTAGAGGTGTTTTCTCTGCTCCTGATTTGTATTGTTTGAATGGACTTTTGAGCTTGAATACTGTTCGTTATCTCCATGTATTTCATTAAAGTCTGCAATAGATTGTGACTTATGTTGACACACTTTTTATTCCGTCCTGTAGCTACAAAGTTACATACTGTATACAGAGATGCATGCTTGTGACGCATGCTTGTCTCTAGAAGAATAATTGCAATGGTCAAAGGCACTGATAGTGTTAATTGTGAGCACGAATATTTTCTTGTCCTTACTCAATTTTGTTTAGACATGTTGCTGTACAACACATTTCTTCAACTTTAATTTTTCTGAGAGGTAACTTTAAGATTAGTAAAATTCTTACTCTGCAGATGAAAAGCTCGAATAGCTTATGATTTATTTTTCAATTCCATTCATCGGAAATGTAACATAATGAAACATTTCAAAGGCTCTGATAAGATTTCTTCTGTAACTTTTACATACCAAATAGGCTACAACACTTGGATTTTTCTGAATGAAAACGATGTTGTAATAGAGGCATTGGTGAAAAAGAAAGCAGATTTTGCTGGTAGACCTAAATTTTCATCAGGTAGGAAAGAAAAAAATCTTTCATCAAAACTTGACTTTATATTTAATCTGAAAAAAGAAGGCGATATATTCAACTGCTATTTACTTCGTATATTTGCATTGTACGAGTATGTGTTAAAATAAATTTTTCAGATGATGCATTTAGTGACGGGGGCAGAGACATTGTATTTAGCACCTATTCGCCAACTTGGAAATTGCACAGAAAAATTGCAGGCAAAGCTCTCAGGTATGTCTTGCTTGGGAAAAAAAATAAGAATGCAGCAAGAAAGCACCTTCTTCCATGAATAAACATAGCATAACTCTCACACGTTCTCATCACGGTTTTTTAATGCTAGCAAAGCAGTTTTGACTGAATCTGATTGATTATTTGTATGTTGTGTTACATTCCATTTGAGAATTTTCCACTCATATAGAGACGTCACCATATATCCGTGAAAGGATTGATATTTAGACCTATACTCGGCATTTAGAGCCATATTGAGCATTGAAGGTTTTTTTTATCGTGCCGTGCCAACGCCTACCGTGACACGAGAGCTCGGTTTTTAAGATCTCATTCGAATATACCCGTGACTTTCACTTCTATTGCTGGGCACGTTGCAAGTAACTGTTACTAAATATGTTTACGTCTTAGGTTTGACGTGCCGCCGGGATCGAGAATCGAACTCCCTGCTACTAGGCTACCGTGACTTGTGATTGAATCTGATAATAATATTAAAAGTTTCAGAAAAAGGGGTGTGCAATCATTTTCAAAACAATTATATAGACATAACTGAATGAATCTGTTCAGGTTGGAGAAGTGCATTACGGTCTAAGTGGCTGCAAATAGCCTATATTTTCGAACATTGTGGCATAGAGTACATCATAATGTAGCTCTGTATCTGAAATCTACCTTTTTGGGTCAACTGAAGTATTAAACACTGTTGTTTAGATGCATAAGACATACGTTACTAGGGATTTACATCTGAATTACAGTATGTGAAGAAAAAAAAACACGAGTTATACTTCAGATGATTGCAGTAGGTTTACTCCTCAGTGAATCGAAGTGACATACTCAACAAACTTGCACAAGTGATTGACAGAGGACAAAGAAGCTTAACTGCTTTAAATGCTGCGTGTGATCTGTATTTCATTGCAGAGTTTTCTGGCTTCACTGAAGCAGCTTTATTGACAAAATCAATAATCCTTGAAAGGTCCAACAAGATCCAACTAATCTGAAATCAGTTTGGAGTCTGCAAGATGTAATTCTGACGCTTTACCCAGCGATCCAATTGTAAAGTAATGCTGTTTTTATAATCGTACTAAATTCTAGTTATGTCATCAATTACCGTTTTGGTTGTCGCCCGCGTGTCGCAGTAGTTAGAGCGTTTGCTCTAGAGTCGCGGAGTAAGAAGTTGATCCTTACGTCGCGAGTTCGAATCTCACTGTGGGATGTGAAGAGCGGTCCTTCGTATAAACCGAGGTCCCTTGTCGCAGTAGGTGCTGGCACGAAAAAGATCCCTCACAGCTCAATGGCCCTGAGTGCCGAGTATAGGTCAAAATTTATGGCTCTCCACCAGCAAGTGGTGGCGTCTCCATATGAGTGAAAAATTCTCGAGAGGGACGTTAGACAACAAACAATCAAACAAAAAAACCTTTTGGGTTAAATAAAAAATATATATAACAATAAAAAATCGTGATCAGAGGGTGAACATATATGTTTTGAATGTGTGATTATGGATTTAGGTTCTCCTTACTGAAAAGGTATCTGCATTTCAACGATTCTTTGCAAATCTTTATTAAGGAAAATATTTACTCGTGTGAACGTGTTTTTTGAAAATTTAGAATTATAATTGATTGAAAACATAAATAAGATATTTTTAATTGATTTCCTAGCATTGTAATATGTTATATTTTAGGCATTATTTACAAGGAGATCTCCTCGAAAACATGATACAGGATAACATGGATAAATTCCTCAATAAAATGGCACAGGAGAAGGAACCTTTTGCTTTCAAAAATTATGTGGATCTGATGGTTTTTCATCAACTGTATACTATTTGTTTTGGGGAAAAGTAAGAGCACGAATTTTGCGATGCCAAATTAATATGACACATAGATATAAATTGGTGCCCGTTAAGCTAATAATCATTCATGTACTTTCTACAGAATGTTATTTCATTCAAATAAGACATTAAAAAATCTCAATTTCAAGTTGATTTCTATCTATGCATTATTTTTCTTTAAAAAAAAAAAAAACAACAGCAATTTAAAAAAAAAATGTGTTCAAGTAAACAGAAAACGATAACTTTGATTTAAAATTGAAATCATTTTTTAAATAGAATCTCATATGAATAAAAGATGAAATTTTCTAAGGTATACGCATGTATCCATGATTGGATGTTATCATTTTTATTCTTTATGTAAAATGATAGACGGCCTATTGATGACCCTGAAGTAAAGGCACTGCTTACGTTAGATGAAGAGTTGATCACCTATCTTGGAGCTGGATTCCTTGAGGATTTATTCCCATATCTGAAGGACATCTTACCAACTGCGAAATGGAAGAAATTTCTTATAATGTTAGATCAGCTGTCAGATGTGCTTCGGGCAAAATACAAAGAGCACGTCGATACTTTTGAACCAGGTTGTAAACTTTTAAAAACAATATGAAATGTCTACTATTGCAATCATTTCATCACAAAAATGCCACAGAAGAGGGAGATGTAGTGAAACATTTTCAACTTTGATTCAGGAGTTTTAAATCTTGAAGGACACATATCTTTATATTTCATATATCTTTTCAAGGTGTAAACAGGGACTTCATCGACAGTTTGCTGATGGCCAGACAGGAAGCCAAGAATGAGGGTGACGAATCCGCCCTGGAGAAGTTGGATGATAGACATTTAATTCAGACTATTTCAGATATATTTCTGGGTAGGAATAATGCATATTATTCATATCTTGGCTTCATGTATTCTTGCTTACAACAATGTCAATCTATGCAACATTTTCTAAAAATATGTGCAAATGATAATTGACATAATGTAATATAGTAAGAGATTGTTAACTTGATCTTAAATTGATCTACAGTGTGGCAGTTGGGGATTAAACTTTGCATGACATATAAGTAAATGCACTGGTTAACAAAAGTAACAATTATTTGCCAAGAATGAAAAGGGTGAAAGGTTTTGTAATCGCAGATGTGTCATCTTGAAACAAGTTTATTTAGAACTTAACATACCGAAATAGATTGCCTATAATTATCCAATGCTTATTTCTTACTATGAAGGAAAAGCATAGGTTTAAAATCATAAATGTACTTTCTCTCAGATACTTCCAAATATTGAACATAATGTATTTTGATATACAATCAAGCATTGCATAAAAATCTGGAATTGATTTCAAATTTTTTTTATGGTAGGGAAATATAATAATTATAGGGGTAAATGTATATACAATATAGTAAACTCCCAGTGATCAGAACTATGAATCCGGTGAATATTACAGCATATTTTGTCTTGATTTTTTGTACTTACAAGCTTGGTAATTTAATTCTATATGTCTTAAAGAATTATTGACTTTTTCAACAGCTGGAGTGGATACCACAAGATTCACAATGGACTGGTTTATATATTTCATGACCAGATTTCCAGAGCTCGAAACCAAATGCCAGGAGGAAATTGACAGGGTTGTCGGTAAAATTCACAAAAAAATGTTATTAATATTTATAGATTATTTCTATGAACTAAATGTATTGAAAGTCAAACAAATTGTGTACTTCCATTCCGACCATTTCAGAAATGAAAATTACGTGTAATTTGTTTGGTCATCTTTGAAATGTCAAGGGCAAATGATAAACCCACTTTTTTTTCTACACGAATTTCTATTTCTTATTATCCTTAACTTCTTTATTTTTGTAATGCCTTAAGATTTCTACAATGATCCCAACATTTTGGAATCAAATTCAATGCTAATCTTACCTATACTTATCTGTGATATTAAAGGCTCAGAACATCCATCAATGAAACATCGTAATAACCTGGACTATACAGAAGCTTGCCTTTTTGAAACATTAAGGCTTGGAGGCGTCGCAGGACTCGGAGTCCCTCACATGACTATGTGTGATTCACAAGTTGGTAGGTTATAATTTATTCAAAGATCACGTCAATGAAAATTAATTCAGTAAGTGGATCTCTCATTTATTATCTTATTTAACATGTTTAATGGTGCTATTCTTCTGACTGACAAATAGTAAGTAAAAGCATTTATCTAACGGGCAGGTGGTTATGACATACCAAAAGGAACCACAGTTATTATCAACCATTGGGCTCTTCATCATGATCCTAAATTCTTTAAAGACCCAGAAAAATTTGACCCATATCGCTATCTTGATGAAAACGGAAAAATGAAACCTTCTAGACCAGATAGTTGGCTTCCATTCTCAGCGGGCCGCAGAGTTTGTTTGGGAGAAACGGTCGCTAAACCTGAATTATTACTTATGTGCGCTAACCTACTCCAGCGATTTGAAATTCGTCTCCCAATTGGAGTGAAACCAAATCCTAATTTCAGGCAGCTGGGATTTGGCACAGAGCTTCCACCTGAGTATAAAATCATCGTCAGGGAAAGAAATGAAAGTTAAACCATCTATGTCGTTATATTTTTATAATAATACTGTTAGTAAATAAATATATGAATTTACTGTAATTTTTACGTCTGGTGATAGTTTTCCTGTTTATAAATTTTTGTATATAAATCAACTCTTTTATCAAAGAATTTAACAAGAATGCATGCTAAGTTATAATATATAAATATATCTTCAATGTATCTTTTAAAAAACATTTTTTACTTACCGTATATACTCGCCTATAAGTTGGTTGGCTTATAAGTCGGTTTTATTTTTTCAGACTATTTTGATGGAATTTGCAATTGACCCACTTGTAAGTCGGTGCAGTTTTTTTTTGCCAGAATCTGTAGCCAATTTCAGATTAATATACTACTGTATTTACATGTGTTTCAAAGTATATTTTGGGGAATAATATCGATATTTCATCTTTTATGAACAATGCAAACAAAAAGAAGATCATTGAACGGATGCGTTTGCGCGAAATTCTTCGTGATGAATTGTCGTTAATAATATGGTGTTTTTTTAATTCCTATGTACAGTTTTGATCTGATTTTAGTAAAACTTTCTACACAAGAAGAAAACACAAATAAACATAATTATCTATATTGGTTTTTAACTGTGTTGCCATGGTTACTAAAAATAGGAAATTCTGTAAGAATGCTACTTTTTGTAGTTCTGGCCTAATTTTTAAAAAAAAATTTAACAAAGGCAAGTAGACTATGCTGTAATACATAATTCTGTTTATAGATGATAATTCTTTTATTTTGATGAATGGTTTTGCCATGATACATGTATCAATAAATTAAAAAGCATTTCTATGAATTCTTTTAAAAAGCTATTCCGGCTACATTCCTGTCAGATTGCCATAAAACTTACCACAAAAGGATACTAAACCTATGATCATTATTCTGTTTATTCTAAGTATGAAATAAACATATCCTTTTAAAATTTATGTGTATAAGTAAAGCTAGCATTTCAACCTATCCGAACTTTAATATAAGCGGAGCTACTATACGGGCCAGACAATGCTGACCTAATATGTTATTGTACTTGGTTTCCCCCTGACCTTATATTATAAGACATCGGATACGTATACAGATGCGTTTACGGATACGTTAATCAGAAAAATCTCTATCATTTAGCATTTCTTACTGAAATATTCATTGTGCAACACGTTCTAAGTTATTTGCAATTATAAAATTTGGAGAAAGTATTCAATGGTAAGTAATATATCACAATCTTAGTACAACTGCTAATATTGCACACGAAAAAAAAAACTCTTTGGTCCTAAATAATCATATTCTGTTATATTTATAATTTGTTGTTAAATTCATCAATTTATGTGTTTAGAAATAAAGATTTGCTGAACCGAAAACATGAAATCATTTTTTAATGCAGATCTATATTAAGGACTGTTACAATGTTTAGATACACCAATGTCATCATGCATCAACGTGCTTGTTCAGGCGGCAATATACGTAGTGGGCTGACAATATTCATCATCTTATTAATAACCTAATATATATATCCTGGTGAGGGTCACTTCAGCTTTTATTTGGTACAGGATGTTTCTACTCTTGGAAAATAATTGCTGATATTCATAGAATATCCCTTTTACGTATTCATTTGCGAGTTGTTGTGAAATTATTGTATACTAAATTCATAAATGAATGTCTTCTTTACTTTCTGACATATTTTATTTCTTAGACAAAATCTGTATGTAAAAAATCTCCTTGAAAAGTGAATTTCTTCTCTCTCTCTCTCTCTCTCTCTCTCTCTTTAATGTTCTTTTCGTTTAATAATATAATTGTATTTCTTTAATGTCTTCAAGCATGTCCTTAAATTTATAAAGAAGATCCGCGAAATAAAATATGAAAGTCAAAAATTAAAACTTATATATAACAATTTTCTTTGGTTATTAATCAGTTAACATTGATGTGTACTATATGAAACATCTCCAAAAATTTTCCACAATCTTGTGTTTTATAATAATTCCTCATCTTAAGATCTGACCTACGACAATCATAAGATCTGACAATGCCATTTCATAATACTATCTTAAATATAAGAAATCCTAAGACAAGACTTAGAAAAAGTTTCATGCTTCAATATTACAATGAAGTTTTTAAAAATATATGTTTGCACATTGTTTAGTTGTCTTTCTTTCTTTTTTTTAGTTGAACAATAGCGCATCTTAATATTTCTTTTGGAGTTATATGCTCGGAAGTAACGTTTAATTTTTCCAACTATAGTGTAATTTGAAAGGGGGTAGAAAAGCTAAAATAAAACTACATTTTATAATAAAGAGTGTGTGAGGAAAAAGGTATTTAATAAAATATATTTTTGCTCAGAAAATAAAGGTCGTTGACAAATTGTATAATATGATACTAATTTAAATAAATCCACTACTGAATTTGTGTCTGTGTAAATAATGAAATTCAGTTGTAACACCAAAGCGTGCTCTAAGTACCGCGGTGCGTGTTCATAAATATCTCTGAAGCTTTTACTGCTGTTAAAAAAATACCATGCTTTAAACGAAGTAGAGAAAGGGAAGAACAATTATCAATCAGAATTTAACAGTTGCGAATGCTTTGATGAAGGAAGCACGTAGCGTCAAATATTACAGCAGTAAAAACATGTATAAACAATAACATCAAGCCAATAACAAAAGGGCGGGGAGGGGGTGTATATCTTACGTTGCTTTTTTTCACCCCAAAAAGAAAATCTTTACTGATTTTGTGCTTGGAGGAAATATCCTGTGGCTATTTAACCGTCAGTCAGGAGGAAAAATCTAACCGGGGTCTTTTTTTTTTCTTTTTTTTTTTTGGATGGAAAAACTCTAATGGTGGAAAGTCTATGCTACAACACCGAAAGCAATGTTACATGAGAACTTGATATTTATATTTTTACAAAAAATATTAAACATTATGTACAGTAAGCATAATTAGTCAGGACTTAATATCTCCCCAAGATTTACAGAGTTACTTAATTTATATTGGGTTATCACGCATATGAAAAAGCTTATTTTGGTCCTTAAAAATCATATTTTGCTACATTCATAATCTTTGTATAATTAATAAATTTATATGTATAGAATTAAAGAATTATTGAACCTGAAAAATTTATTTTATTCTATTGTATGCAACATGGCTTGACGCTTTAATAGGCTCGCCAATTTAGCAAAAAGACAAATAACAATATACTAGGAAATTCTTTCCTCGAAAATAAAAGCGCCAATATTTGGCCAGAGTGAGAAAAGCTCAAAACTGTGTACTAAAATTCTCCAGTCATTCAATTATAGAGAGAAAAACATTTCTATTATCAAAGGGATTAAAAAATATTCTAACTTCTCAAAGCAAAAAAAAAAAAAATAATAATAAAAATAAAAAATAAATAAAATAAAAAATAAATAAATAAATAAAAAATTAAAAAAATAATAATAATGTATAAAAAATAAAAAGTTAAAAACAGTCACGAAGGATTTTCCAGAATTTGCAAGACAACTGAAATCCACATATCATTTTAGTACGGATGAGAAAGAACGTATTCCTCCTTTTCGAGAAATGAACGCCTATATACCTAGCTATAACTATATTGCTCTACCACAATTAGAGTTGCCATCAATCGATATCAAATCAAACGTTTCTAATATATCACCTTCAGAACGAAGCGCATTTTATGACTTACTAATCAATAAACAAATCGTTATAAAAAGAAAACCAGACAGTTACACTGTGGTGATAATAGATTAAAAAAAAACAATACATTGAAGAGGGTCTGCGTCAATTATCAACACAGTATTATACTGGAATAGAAAACCTAATTTTTCCTTTATATACAAAACTATGCAGGTCAAGATAGATTAAATGTTTCAGAATAGAAAATTAAATAAACAAATTTAACATATTTCTCAGGGCAGTAACTAGGCTCAAATTTTTAGTGAGGCAAGGGATCGGGGGGGGGGGGGGGTCACCAAGCGTGTCCAGTGTAGTGTCCTAATGGGGGTTCTCGGGGAGGAGGGGTGAATCCCGAAACCTGGGTATAAGCAAATTAAAGACTCAATCTTTAAAAGTTTTCATGTTTTACATGCGTTCTAAACTATAAAGAAGCACCTGGTGAGATGATCGATTAACAGAAATTGAGACAAAATTTAGTTGCAATTGGAAGTATCAATTTCATACAAAAACACACATAATTAACAATAGTTCAAAGTAAAACTTTTTCACTTAAAATAATTTTATTTCTATTTCTTATCTTAATTCTAACTTTGTGATTAAAATTTTTCAGTTTTATATCATTTTCTTAATGTCATTTTATTTAACGATATTTAACGATTAGCGGTTTCCAGTAAAAGTTCTTTCATACCTCTTTCTTTTCTTCTCACTAAAATATTAACAGCAGTGAAGTGGAAACTTCAGGAGTACTGTGCAACAACATATTCGAGAAGTTGTGTAAATCAGATGTGGATACTTAAAAATTCCAAGGCACTTTTGGAAAAATTTAAAATCGCAAAATATTGAACTGTCAACATCTTGACTACCGGTACTGACAACTGATTTAGATTTGGGGGGATTTATCTATGCTGCAGTAAATACTACTCTGCACTCTACTCAAAACATACCTATAAAGGAACACTTGCTAAAGGGCTTTTTTACAGGAACATGATCAATGTTAATAGGTTTGCATGCGACTAAAAATCACTTGAATAAATCACTTGAGTATACTCATGTGTATCTCAAAAATATTTATTTAAATCACTTGAATAAATCACTTGAGTATACTCATGTGTATCTCAAAAATATTTATTTAAAAGAAAGAAAAAAGGAAATAACGAAAAAGAATTATCTGAATGCGTAACATTGTAAATCGTACAACGTTTTGATTTATAATTAGGATCAGTCCGGTGTTTCGTTCTATTTAATCGGGTTCAGAATCGACAAAATACACAAGGAAATTACTTGCCGTGCTGAAAAAAGTGTTTGCATATTTTTTTCCTTTCCGGGAATTTAAACGACCGCGATTGGCTGCAAATTGAACAAACCGCGATCTTTTCTTACCTCGATTTTAACCTGTTGTACAC